CTGAGTCAGAGAAGAGGCCTCTCCACGTCCGTGACAGCTTCGTGGAGGTGTCTCCTGCCTGCCAAAGACCCCGGGTGCGCCTGGGCTCCGAGATCCAGGACTCGGTGGTGTGACGGGGATGAGAGCCGAGCCCTCACTCACCACTGCCTCTGCTCTGCTGAGCCTCACTGGACCGTGCACCACTGCCAGGGTCCGTGTTGTCTGTGTGTGCATGCCCAGAGCCTGCACCCACCCTCTGCGGCAGCGCCCACCAGCCAGGGGGGTTTAGAGCCCTCCCCGGGCATCACCTCGGTACTTGTGGGTGTGAGGGGTGCCTCACACCTGCCAGGGTCCTGCAGGGCGGTTCCAGCCCAGCGCCCCTGCTGCAGGGCCAGACACGGTTCCTGGCTCCGGCTGCTGGTGCGGGCTCTGCCAGGCCCTGGCCCCCTCTATGCAGAGGGCAGGAGGGGCGGCCGCAGACCCCTCGTGCCCCAACTCACTGTGACGTCCCGCTGGGGACCAGGGCCACGCGTGCGGCTGGGCAGTGCCAGCCCCGCGGCATGTGCTGTGTGTCTGTGCTTGGTTCGTTTTTGATATGTGGAAAATGTGAATTGTGTCCGGGGAAGGAGAGCTGGGAACAGCTTCCCCTGCGCGGGGTGGGCAGGGATGCCCCCGCGGCCCCACGTGTGTGTGCGGGAACGTCTCTTGTTTTTATATAAAGTCCTTCAGACACGTGTGTGCGGCAGGGCTCGGTGCCTTCCTCGGCCAGAACCATCCCTGCTGGCGCCGTGGAGAGCAGCCACGTCTGGCTCTCACTGCAGTCAGAGGGAGATCTGCCCGTGCCTTCAGAGGGGGCAGAGGACTGTGCTGGCCATCAGCTCTCTGGAGTCTCCTCCTCGTGTGCTTGGCTGAGCACTGGGCCAGGGCACGCGGGGCCCTGCAGGGACAGTGGCTGTGTCCCTGTGACCTACTGGCAGGCTGTCACTCGGGCAGCCCTGGGCTGTCCTGGGGCTGTGCCGTGGCAGCGTGCTGCAGGGAGGCCCTTGGGGGGGGAGCACAGAGCCATGGGGTGATGCCATCCTGGCACCATGAGGAACAGGAGAAGGCAGAGGTGACCAGGAGTAAGAAAAGTTGGTGCCTGGGGCTGGGAGGAGAGCAGCCCCCAGTAGGAGAGAGGCTGTGACAGCCCCCTTCCCAGGACCACAGTGTTGTGCTGCATGTGGGACCCACTGCCAGCTCGGGGAGCATCAGGTCCTTGTGCCCATCCCACCCTGCTGAGGGCTGGCTCTGGACACTTTGCCAGCAGGACCTGACTCTGTGGTGGCTGAGGGCGAGGCCTGGGCTTGCAGCCAGTGCTGCTTTTGAGCCCTCACACAACTGGGAAGCACCGGCAGTGCCAGCACAGGGCTGGGGGAAGTGGTGAGCTCCGCAGAGATGGCGTGTCCAGGCAGGATTCCCCCGAGGGACCAGCACTGCCTTGCTCCCAGCTGGACCTATGCTCTGCACTTCCTGCACAGCCTGTTCTGGGACATCAAAAAAGCCACTGGAGGCGTTGGCTGGTGAGCTGCCAACAGACACGGCCCCGGGGCTGTAGGGGCACAGGCCTCGGCGGGCACATACTGTCAGCACCGTGGGGCAGCGAGCTGGAAGGGCTGGCAGCGCCAGGAGCAGGAGCCACTGTGTGAGAAACAGCCACGCCAGAGCCCCGAGAGCCTTCAGCTGCTTTGCCCCAGCACGGGCTCTGCGGGGCCAGCCCGACCCCAGGCTCACACCAGTCCTGGCAGGGCTGCAGGCCAGGGCAGGGAGGATCCTGAACGAGGACAAGGGACCCTGAACGAGGACAAGGGACCCTGCTGCTGCTGCCCGCAGTGGCGGTGCCACTCGCTGCCCAGGGTTCCCCTTAGTGCCCCCAGGCTGAGCTCTTTGTGCTGCCCAGAAGGATCCCCGCGTGGGGGAGGGAGGGAAGGAGGTGGCCCATGGAAAGGCTGTCGTGGAGAGGACGTGGAACCATCCCCTGGAGTGGCGGCTGGCGCGCAGGCAGAGGCCTGGCAGGAGCCCATGTCCCCAACACCCTGGTGGCACCCGTCCCGCAGCCGGACAAAGGCAGCAAAGAGCAAGGGTGAAACCAGAGCCCTTTAATTGTGTCCTCACAGGGACTGGGGGAGGAAGAGGCCAGGGCGGCAGAGCAGCTGCTGTGCTGGAGCCAGAAGAGAGCAAAGACAGCAAGGGAGGAGGAGGAGGAGGAGTGCAGGCTCTGAGCACAGCCGTGGGGACAGCTCTGCTGTGGGGTGGCACCTGTACAGTGACTCTTGGGTGACTGCTCAGAGAAAGCACCCCCATTTGGGTTATTGCTTGTGAAACACGATCCACTTCTTGGTTATTGCTCAGAGGATCCACGTTCAGTTATTGGTCAGAGAAATGGATCCAAGTGGCAGCAGGCAGGCTCCCAGAAATACAGGAGAGGCAGGAAGAGGCTGGCAGGGGAGGCAGCTGCCTGCCTGCTGCTGGAAGGCACAAGGTAGGAATTGGTCCTGAGGGCAGAGAGGGGCTGTGCTGGTGCAGAGTGGCCCCAGGCAGGAGCAGCTCTTCCTCCCCCACCGGCAGAGCTGCCCTTGGAATGCATAAGGATTCAAATTCTAGTGCTAGGACAGCAGGGGGCCGCAGGAGAAGCAGATTCCTGGGACCCTGCTGCCAAGCAGGCACCTGAGAGGGGAGCAGGAGGGTTCCTGCCCAAGGCACTGCAGCACAGCCAGGCTATTGAGGGGCCAGGCCTGTGCTCCCTGAAAGAGGAAATGGCTGAGCCCACGAAGAGCTGCAGGAGCTGGAGGGGTGCAGGAGGAGCTGGACGAGTGCTGCTGGACAGCCACGGGGCTCACAGGACAATCTTGAAGGAGCTGCAAAAGATATGACAGGACCTGCACCTGCTTGCTAGGTCACACAAAGGGTTTGCAAGCACTCAGCGCTGCAGGGAGCAGAATCCCTCTGTGGGAATCCTTTGCAGAGCCAGCAGGGCATGCAGAGCCCTCTGCCATTCCGGCTGCTTGGCACAGGGCAGCCCTGCCCCAGTGCCAGCTGAGCAATCAGGGTGACAAACCCCCAGGCAGCCTCTGGAGCCCACCGCACCTGGCAAAGTCCGGGGAGCGCGAGACCACGTGCTGGAACTCGGAGAGGTTGATGGTGCCGTCCTTGTCGATGTCGGACTCCTCCAGGATCTGTGGGGAGGGTGAGCAGTGAGCTCTGTGCCTGGGGCCGTGCAGTGCCCCTGCCCTGGCCAGCAGGCCTCACATTTTGGATGAGCTGCTCCATCTCTGCGCTGCTCAGCCGGGACTCCTCGCCTTGCCCCGTCAGGCAGTTCACCAGCTGCTCCAGGTCCTTCCTGTCCAGAGTCCCATCGTTATCAAAGTCTGTGGGGACAGACAAGGTAGGTTTTGGCAGGGCCACAGTAAGCCCAGAGAGCCACAGGCACCGGCACTGCACCACTCCATGCACCTCAGCACGCCAAACTAGCTGCTCCCACAGGGAGTTCCTAAAGCCACCATCCCCGTGGGTGCTCCAAGGGCACTGCCAGCCCTCCTGAACATCAATTCATCACCCTGCTCCCACTTCCTCAAGGTGCAGGGATCCCAGAACACAGCACCTGTCCTCAGCCTTACCAAAGATGCGGAAGGCATAGTGGGACTTGATGTCAGAGGTGGCAGAATCGCTGAAGACACTCAGCATGTCAAGGAAGTCTTCAAACGACATGCTGTCATCCCCGGTCTCTGAGGTTGAGAACACGTGGCAGATGCGGTGCTGGAAGGGGTTTGCCTGTAGACAGGGGATGGCTGAGGCAGGGCTGGGTCGTGCTGGCTCCATCAGGCACACTTTGGCTGTGGCTGCTGCTGCGGCAGGTGAGCAGGTGCCCCGCTCTGCCACTGCTCCATCACCCACAGCACGGTCAAACCCGTCCTGTGCGCCTCCCGGGACGCAGCCCCGCGCAGCAGGGGCCCTTGTGGCACAGCAGGGACCCCCAGGATCCTGCACAGCAGGGACCCTTGGGCTGCTCCGCGGCACAGCAGGGACCTGGGATCGTCAGCTCCTCGGTGAGGACAAGGAAGCTCTTTATTGGCACAGCAGAGCACAGAGCACCGGCGCAGCGGGGCCGTGCCCCGGGAGCAGCAGTGTCCCGTGTCTGCCAGGCACCGTACCCGCAGCTCAGGCAGCGTCAGGATCTGGCTCTTGGGAACCCGCGCGGAGCAGGCGTTCTCCCTCTCCTCCTTTGGCAGCAGTTCACTGAACCTCTTGTAGGCACTTTTAGAGGCAAGAAAGAGAGCGGCTCTGTGGTGGAGCGGGGTGGCAGCAGCCCGTCTGGCACCCAGGGCGGGGTGGCCCGTTCCCACAGCTCCTGCCAGCTCTGCCGGGCCAGGCCAGGCCGGGCCGGGCCGGGCTCCCACAGCTGCTGCCGGGACACGGAGCGGAGCCGGTCCGGCTGCTGCCCGGCCGGCCCCGGGCCTGCGGAGGGTCACCGCGGCTCAGGCCGGCCCCAGCCCTACCCGCTGCCCAGGGCGGCACCGGCAGCGCCCACGGACCTTGGTCCCGTCACAGCCGCTCCCAGGGAGCGCCACCGGCACCTCCCGGCTCAGCTGGGCGTCTGGGCGGAACCGGAGCCCCGGGGCAGGCCGGAGCGCTCCGTGCCCCGCGGGACCGGGCTGGCACGGGAGCCCCACTCACGGTTCTGCGGCCGGCGGTACTTACAGCAAGATCTCCTGCTTGCTCAGGAACGTCAGCTCCTGCGGGGACAGCACGGGTCAGCAGCGGGCCCGAGCCTGAGCCAGGGCACCCAGCCAGGGGCTCCCGGTCCCTGGGCGCCCTCCGGGGCCGCGCCGCCCTGCCGTGCCCCGCTGCGGCCGGCCCTCTGCCGCGGTGCCGGTACCTGGTACTCGCCCAGCAGGTCCCGCGGGATCAGGCTGGCCGAGCCGCCCATGGCGCCGCTTCCCTCTGCGCGTCCCCGCCCGCCGCCGCCGCAGCTCCGGCCCCGGGCGGGGCAAACGCGCACGCACGGCCGGCCCCGCCCGCCCGGGCGCACGGCGGCTCCCGGGGCCGGCCACCGCGGGCACGGCGGCCATGGCGGGAGGGGAGCCAGGCGAACCCAACCCCGAGGAGTTCGTGTACGGCGAGGAGGACTTCGTGCTGCAGGCAGCCGGCTGGGGCGACCCGGACTCCGCGCCCTCCCGATTCGACCGGGTGCTGCTGGCGGGCTGGAACGACCGTATGGAGCGGGGACTGTTCCGGTACCGGCTGGGACCGCTGCCCACCCGCGTCCTGCCCGGCGCCGTGCGCCTCGTGGCGCAGCTGAACGCGCAGCGCAGCGCGGAGCGCCGCCCGCCGCAGCCCGTCCGCAGCCTCCGCGACCCCTTCGACCCCGGCGCCTTCAACTTCACCCGGCTGCGCCCCGCCGAGCTGCTGTTCCGCCTGCGCCGCACCGGCGGCCCGGGGCCGGCGCCGGAGCCGCTGCTGGTGGCCATCAACGCCAGCCCGCTGGAGCGGGGACATGTGCTGCTGCTGCCCGAGCCGGCGCGGCGGCTGCCGCAGCTGCTGACGGCCCCGGCGCTGCGCGGGGCGCTGGAGGCGGCGCTGCTCAGCGCCCACCCCGGCTTCCGCGTGGGCTTCAACGGGCTGGGCGGCGGCGCCTCGGTGAACCACCTGCACCTGCACGGGCTCTACCTGGACCGCCCGCTGCCGCTGGAGGAGGCGCCGGCCGAGCCGCTGGGGCCGCGCCTGGCGCTGCTCCGCGCCGGGCCGGCCCCCGCCTTCCTCTTCTTCGCCGCCGGCCCCGCGGCCCTGGAGCCGGTGTCGCGGGCCGTGTGCCGGGCGGCGGAGCACCTGGGCGCTGCCGGGCTGGCCTGCAACGTGCTGGCCGCGCGGGGCGCCCCGCCGGCGGGGCCCGGGGCCGGCCGCGGGCTGCGGGTGCTGCTGTGGGCGCGCCGGCCCCTCTTCGGCCCCAAGGCGGGTGAGCCCTTCGCCGTGGCCTTGTGCGAGCTGGCAGGGCTGCTGCCGCTGCCCGCCGAGCCGCTCTACCGGGACATCACCGAGGCGCAGGCCCTGAGCGCCATCCGCCAGCACCTGCTGCCCGAGCCCGAGCTGCTGCACCTGGGCGGGGAGCTGGCGCGGCTGCTGGAGCGCTGAACCGGTGGCACGGACAGCGGCCGGAGGCTCAGCCGGTGGCACGGGCAGCTGCCGGAGCGCTCAGCCGGTGGCACGGACAGCGCCTGGAGGGCTCAGCCGGTGGCACGGACAGCGCCTGGAGCGCTCAGCCGGTGGCACGGACAGCGGCCGGAGCGCTCAGCCGGTGGCACGGACAGCGGCCGGGGCGCTGCAGAGCTGACGGCCCCGAGACCGGCAGAGGGCGCTGCGGGGGAGGACACGGAAGTGGCTGTCACGTGACCGCGAGGGGCCGCTCTGCCCGCATGCCCGCGACTCCATGGTGCGGTCGCCATGGGAACGCGGCGGAGCCGGGAGCGGTGCGATGGCGGCGGCGGGCGGCGCCGACGGGGGGAGCATGGGCCCGGGCCCGTCGCCGGGAACCCCTCCGGGCGAGGAGGCGGCCATCGCCGCGGCCCCCCCGGACCGTCCCGCTGCCCCCGCCGGACCCGAGCCGCGGAGGAAGCGCAGGCGAGTGCGGGGCCGCGGCCCCCGGCAGGGTCCGGCCGGAGCCCGTCCAGCCGCTCCCGGCGGCGCCGCCGCTGCCTCACTCGCGCTCGGTCCCGGCCCCAGCCCAGCCGTGCCCCGGCCCCGCGGCTCCCCGCGGCACAGTGCCCCGGCGGTGCCCGGCGCTCCCCAGCCCCCGGGAGCCGGTCCGGGGTCCCGCTGGCCCAAAATAAATGGTGTTCCCTGGAACTGCCCAAAGATCCCCTGTGTGACCCACCCAGGCACGGCCCCGTGCCCAGGCCAGCCTGCCCGTCCCCCTGGGGCTGCAGCGAGCCGGGGCAGGCTCGGTCGGACTCCCGCTGTGCTCTGTGAGGGCCATCGGGCTGTGTCCCCGCTGTGTCCCCTGCCCGGTGCCTCGCTGAGCTGCTGTCATCTCGTCTCTATTCCAGTGTCCCCTCCATCAACCTGAGCGGCTGCAAGTACGAGAGTGGTAAGTCAGAGGGGTCCCCGCAGGCTCTGCAGGCGCTGGCACCCAGTTCCCGCTGGTTTATCTACTGCTGCCAGCGGCTGGCACAGCGCCCTCGTGTTAGTGGGCAGTTTGTCACACTTTGGACTGAGATTTCTCCCGATTTAAAATGTGCAACAGCAGAGCGAGCCCTGAACACCCCCCACACTTGTGTTTGCCAGCTGTGTGCTAAAATGGGCGAGAAGGATTCCATCAGGTACAGTGCAAGGAGCACCTGGGCTCGGAGACAGGACCTGAGGGTTGTCAGCTGTTTAAGGTGAAGCTGGTGTGAGCAGGCAGGATCTGTACCTGGAGCCTCTCCCTGTGCTGTTCATCCCTGGTGACTCCAGGGAGCTGGTCCGCTCTCCCCTCCCACTCTCCTTCCACAAGCTGGATCTTGAAAGAACAAACTCCTGGCCCTCGAGGGGTGTTATTAATCTACTTTGCTAAGGGATCTTGGTGTGCATGGATCCCCATCAGCCCTGCCAAATTCATACTTTGCACTAGCATGAACCATCTCAGCAGAGACCTTTTTCTGCAGAGCTGTGTTCTGCTGCTGAAAGGCCTTTGATTTGGGAGATTACATTCACACCTTCACAAGACTTGTATCTGCCTGTGAGGTGTAAAACCCATGGGAAGTTCAGTCCCACTGTTGAGGGGCCCTGGCACCCCAAGACAGGTGGGATTAGAAGGTTAAGAGCTCCCAGAACACTTGCAGCCAGAGGCTTGCGGGGCTGGCCAGACAAAACTGGTGTTCCTGACACCTTCCAAGGGGCCATGCCAGACCTTACACCTGCGAGAGGGGAACTGCGGCCCGGAGAGCTGCATCCCCCATCCCTTGTCATTCTGGGGGGTGTCAGCCCCTGTGTGTGGCTCCTCAGCCAGAGATGAGTTTTCCACTCCACGCCTGGCTGCTCTGGGGCTGTGTCAGCCCCTGTACGTGGCTCCCTTGCCTTGGCACAGTGCGGCGGGCGGCGCAGCACTGCGGGCTGAAGGAGGCGGCCGAAAACGAGGAGTGGACGGTGTACTGGACAGACAGCACGGTCACTTTGGAGCGCCTCATGGAAATGAAGCGCTTCCAGGTAAACAGAAGAGCTGCCCAGCAGGAACTGCTCGGGAAGGAGGGTGACACGAGGCTGGCTGTGGAACAGCATGTGGCAGAGTGAAACATGAGCACCCAAACACAGCGTGCCATCTGTGCCTCGGCTCAGGGCGCAGGGTCAGATGCCTTTGCTTGTCTCCATTCCCTGGCAGCATTCAGCAGCATTCAGCAGCTGTGGTGGGAGCAGCAGGGTTCCAGCCCTGTGTTGTGCTGTGGAATAAACAGCTCTTATGCTGCTCCAGGGCTAAGATGGAATAGGCAGATAAATCAGTAGTGAAGCCCAGATAAAGAAGCTGTAGCAAGTCTCACCCCCCAGCAGTAGTTCAAGGCAGCCACAGGCTTGGCTTCCCTCTCACTGCTGGTTCTCCATGCCCAGGCTCTCCTCGGGGCCGGGAGAATCCATCCCCGCAGGGCGCCACTGATGGGGGTTTTTCTGCACCACTTTCAGAAAATCAACCACTTCCCAGGCATGATCGAGCTGTGCCGCAAGGACCTGCTGGCTCGCAACCTGAACCGCATGCTCCGGCTCTTCCCCAAGGAGTACAACATCTTCCCCCGCACGTGGTGCCTGCCAGCCGAGTGAGTGGCGCCGGGGACGGGGTGACACGGGTGGGGGAGGCTGCTGGCTTGCTCCTTCTGGGCACCAGAGCCCAAACCCGCACTTGCTTTCACCTCTTCCACAAACCTCCCAGCAGAGGCGGAGACGTGCGCAGGGAAAAGGAGGGAAGTGGAGGCTGGGTCGGGTCACACAGGTCACAATCTGTGACTCGTGCAGATTAGGAATGGGAGTTCACTTCATCCCCTGCAGAAGTTCAGTGTGTGCTGGCCTGCAGCACCATGGTTTCAGTACCCAGTGTTAGGAGAGAGTTCAGAGGGGTGTTTTTTGCAGCTGGTGATAGTCACCCCTCCCTTGCACAGCTACGGAGATTTCCATGCCTATAGATCCACGAGGAAAGCAAGAACATTCATCTGCAAGCCCGACAACAGCTGCCAGGGAAGAGGGATCTTCATAACCCACCACCCAGAGGAGATCAAGCATGGGGAACGCATGATCTGTCAGCAGTACATCTCTGAGGTACTGGGACAGTCCAGGAACATCGGGGTAGGATTCCAGCATCCCCCATGCTCCCCGGGTCTGCTCAGGTCTGCTGCAGGTGTTGGTGTGGCTGTGGCACATCGGGGACACAGACAAAGCTTGTCCCTCTGCTGAGCAGCACAGGCAGAGGAGCAGTTCCTCACCTCACCCTTGCTCCTGCCTCTTTTCTCCCAGCCCTTCCTCATCGATGGCTTCAAGTTCGACATGCGCATCTACGTGCTGGTCACATCCTGTGACCCACTGAAGATTTTCCTTTACAAGGAGGGCCTGGCCCGGTTTGCCACCATGAGGTACATCGATAACAGCACGAGAAACCTGGTAAAGAGGACGTTTTTAAAAAAAAAAACCTCATATAGTGTCTGTAGGTGTCAGCCCTTAACTTGTCCTGGGGGCATTCCAGGCCTTGAAAAGGCAGGTATTGGGGGTTGCAGGAGTCCCAGCTTGATGCTTTCCTGTTCTTCCTCTATACCCCTTCCTCCTCCTCACAGGAGGTGTTTCAGGAGGGATAGTACATCTACCCTAAGGCCCCACATTTGGGCTGTTTACTGGCATTACCACGGAATCATGGAATTGTTTACTTGGATGGAACCTTGGAATGTCTCCAACCTCATGCTGCAAACTTGGTCAACAATAAATTCGTATCTGATTTCTCAGGGTCTCACCCCATCAGGTTTTGAAAACCTGCAGAGTGAAGCCCCCCCTGGTGTCTCTGGGCAGCATGTTCTGCTTCTGGCTCTGATAAGAATGCTCAATTCCACACCATTCCTACTCTGCCCATGCTTCAGGCAGAAAAGAACCTGGGAGTATCTGGTGGGGCTGTTCCTGTTCTTGCTCGGTGGTTCAGAGTGAACAAACATCTCCTGTGGTTCCCTGCCAGGGTGACATCTGCATGCATCTGACCAATTATGCAATCAACAAACACAATGAGAACTTCATCAAGGACGACAGGGTGGGCAGCAAGAGGTACTGGCATGTCCATGCACTGCAGGAACACTGCCTGGGGACAGTGGTTTACCTCAGCTTTCCTGGGTGACACAGCTGAGCCCTTACCACTTCCTCTTCCCACACAGGAAGCTGTCCACCCTCAATGCCTGGATGGCAGAGCACAACTATGACACATCAAAGCTCTGGGCAGATATTGATGACATTGTTATAAAGACACTGATTTCAGCTCACCCTGTGCTGAAACACCATTACCAGACTTGCTTCTCCAACCACACTACTGGCTGTGCCTGCTTTGAAATCCTGGGCTTTGACATTTTGCTGGATAGAAGGCTGAAGCCATGGCTGCTGGAGGTGAGGAAGGAGTGGAGAGCTCAGAGCTGGGGGATTAGGACGGGATTTGGGATGAACAGGGCTTGTTTGACTCAAAAGGGCCACCTTGCTCACGGAATTAACCAGGCTCTGAAGCCAAACAACCTGCTGTGAGCAGGATCCAAGAGAACCCATTTCCTGCACACCATCTAACAGGGAGTTTCCCAAGCCTTCACACCCCTGTCCTGTGAGCACCCCGAATTTGTGACAGCTGCCCCCTGCCTGCACCCTGTGGGGTGGGATCCAGGTGACCTGTGGCACAAGTAGGCACCACACTGCAGGAGAGAGTGCTGTGTGTGGCTTCCTGGCTCTGACAGGCAGCAGAGTTCCGTGGGCAGCGTGGGGCATGGCTGGGGCCATGGGCCAGGAGCTGGGGGGCCAGGTTACGTTAGCTGCTTGTCTTGGCAGGTGAACCACTCTCCCAGCTTCAACACAGATTCTCAGGTAGACCATGAGGTGAAGGATGCCCTTCTGTGTGACACCTTCAACCTGATCAATGTGCACGCCTGTGACAGAAAGAAGGTGCTGGAGGAAGACAAGCGGCGGGTAAAGGAACGGCTCCTTCAGGCCAACCAGACTCCCTGGGAGTCCAGGTATTGCTGATCCCCCACAGTGCTGCAGGCCCAGTGAGCAAAGACAGGGCATGACAGAGCACAGTAACAGCAGTGCTGGCTGCTGGAAGCTCCTGGAGCCCATGGCATTGTGCAGCCTGCGTCCTGCAAGGAGGAGCCAGGGCTCTCCTCTCTGGGTGCCAGGAGATGTGTGACACCTTGTGCTCTGGGCCCTGGCAGAGCTCTCCCCAAGCTGCACCTGCTTGTCATCTCTTTTGCTGGGGATGGGCAGTGCCAGCATTCTGGGCTGGCAGGGATGCTCACATGAGGAACCGCAGCCCTGCCTCAGGAACTGGGGTGCCCTGGGCATGGCCCCTTCTCCAGGGCAGGGGTCCTTGCCAGGGCTGAGGGTTTCCCATTCCTCTGTCTGCCCTATGTCCTTTCACAAGCCCTGTTCAGTGAGCCTGCTGCCTTGCAGGCAGGGCGTGGCTCTCCAGCTGCTGGAGTCCTGGGATAATCCTGGAACATGCTGAGCACATCAGCCCTGCACTCCGCCTGTCCCAGAGCCTCCCTCCACAGCTCCCTGTCCTCCCTCCTGCTGCAGGCGCAGGGAGCAGGAGAGCAGCCAGGCTGCCTGGCTGGCACAGGCTGAAACCTACGAGAACGAGCACCTGGGGGGGTTCCGACGCATCTACCCAGCACCTGGGACAGAGAAGTATGAGCCATTCTTCCAGCAGAGCAGGTCCCTCTTCCAGGAAACAGCAGCATCCAAGGCAAGAGAGGTGTATGCCAGGTATGCTGCTCCTGCGGAAACCCACTTCTCCCAGGTGGCATGGAGGCCACTTGCTCCTGATCCCTCCTGGGGAGCAACTCTGCTGCTTGGCAGGTGTGAGAAAGCAGGCAGAGTGGGAGGGGAAAGGAAGGACCCTGCACGTGCTGTGGCATCACAGCAAAGTGGCTGCTTTTGGATGGACTCCAGAGAGGCAAGGGCAGTACTCCATTGACTTTTGGACTCTGGAGACATCATTTCCCAAATGTCCCCCTCCCTTTTGGCAAGCACAGCCTAATTCAAGGGCATTTCTCCTTTTAAAAGTCTCTTTACAATCAACCCATCCCATCCCCTCTCTTGGCACACTTCTATTATGGGCTATTCGTACAGAACTTGGGCCTGCAGTAAATGTCCTCAGGTTGAAATCTGCCCCACAGCCTGTTGCTGTTGTGGCTCTGAGCCAGTGAGTGACTGCGCTGTTCTGTGGCAGGCAGCAGCTGGAGGAGATGCGCCTGAAAAATGAAAAGATGGAAGCTTCCAGGAAGAAGAAAACAGAGAGGATCCAGAATAAAAGCACAACTCCTACAACCCACCTTTCCTACAGAAGCACCAAGGCGTGGGACAGAAAGGTACCTCAGTGTCAGCACTGTCCCTGGGCTCTCCAAGTCACTGATACGGCTCTGGGAGCTGTGCTGTGCCATTGGTGCACCCGTGGAGCAGAAATTCCAGGTGTGACTCCCTGCCTGAAGTTCAGAGTCAACAACTTGTGTTGGCAGTACTTGCAAACACCAGTGTTGTGCCTTTCCACTTGGGCTCTCCCTGGGATCTCTGTCCCCCATGAGACTGCAACTGTCCCCAAGGTGGAGCAGCTTTGTCTCACCTGTGTGTTATCCCAGCTTCAGCTTTGCTACAGCTCAGGTGTTTCTCTGCCGAGGTGCAGCGCGTGCAGTACAACTCCATGCAGCCCCAGAACATCGTGGAACATGAAGAGAAGAGGAGAGTGAGTGCTCTGCTGCAGCGTGAGAGGCAGATCCGAGGCCTGGGCATCGCCGAGCTGCTTTCCCGGCTGCTCCCCACACCTCACTCCCAGGGATCCTGCACACTCCAGAGCCAGGTAATGGCACTGCCCCCAGCCCCCCACACAGAAGTGGATTGGGCTGAGCATCTCTGGTGGGGCAGGACGGGGGTCTGCTGCAGGTGCATCAGCTGCTGTGCCTTCAGGATGATGAGTCTGGAATGCTGGTGGGGGCATACCTGGGGACAAAGTGCGGGGTGATGTGTACACCCGGGGGTGACTAGAGACTCTTGTTTCCCTTCTCCTGCCATGGCCATTTTCCTTCCCTCCTTCCAGCTGCCGTTTCCCTGGGATGTCATCGGGGACCACAACGCCCACGATGTAATGATGTTTTTCTCATTCCTGGGAGTCCCAGCTCAGACCCTGGGCCACAGGGCCATACCCAGCCCCAGAGCCCAGGCCCTGCCGCGGCACTTCCCAGGCCCAGATCCCGAGGACATGCAGACCCTCTGCATCCAAGGCCAGAGTGTCCCGTACCACGCGCGGCACGAGGGCTCGCGGGCGCTGGGCGGGGGCTGGCTGCAGGGCCAGGCAGCGGGGGCAGCGCTCACCCAGCCCTGCGCCCACCCCAAGGGGCTGCAGCTGAGAGACCAGGGTTTGCCTGGCACCGGCAGCCAGGCTGAGGGCTGTAAGTACACATCACCTTCCCGTGGACGCTCCTGGCCTTGCCAGGGTGGGAGGAATGGGTGGGCTCGATGGAGCTCTCAGGGACGCTGGGACACTGCAGAAGGGTCGCCGTGCTCTGCTGGGGGCACTGGTGACCACTGGAAATCTCTGAGGCTTGGAGATGCCATTTGCAGGGACAGGGAAGAACCATGGGTGGTTTCCCAGGATCAAGGGTTGATGTGCAGGCATGGGGGAGTGTGAGAAGCCAGGAAAGTCAAAGGGGTGCATTAGCTCCTGGGGGTCAGAGGGGACATGGTGACATAGCATAGCCCCCAGTCTCTTCCCAGGTCTCCCTCCCACCACACTGCTCCCTGCCCATGCTCTCACCCTCCATCCTCGCCCAGCCCGGCTCCCTGGCATCAGCTTCATCCACTTTGCAGCCTTAGGACCCGGGGAGCAGGGGCAGAAGAGGGGCTGCGAGGACCAAGCCCCACTGGGAAGGGCAGTGGGGGCTGCTGACCTGCAGAGCTGCTGGCTCTGCACAGCCCCACACCTGTCTGTGCTGTTCCAGGCGATGATGGTAGTCTGTCATCCTTCGATGGAGGCAGCTGTCCCCCAGCTTCCCCAGCCAGCCCAGAGCAGGCCACAGGTGATGGCATCTTCAGCTGTGCTGTGGTGCAGGAGCTTCCCACCGCCACTGCCGCCCACGTGCAGCACACACAGGCCTCAGACCACGGCAGAGCCTCGCCGTGCCAGTGCGTCACACCATGCCAGCACCTTGCCCCGTGCCAGTGCCTCACACATTCACAGCCTGAAAAGCACAGGTAACATGGCCAAGGGCTCAGCCTTCCTCCCGTGTGTGCTTGCATGAGTACCAGGACTTTCTGGATGAAACCAGGACAGCTGATGGCTGCCTCCATCAACTCTGGGGTCAGCCGCTGAGCCCCCTGACCAGAGCCCGGGCCCAGCACGGCTCCGGCCACCTGCCCCGGCCAGCTTCACCTCTGCCAGGACCGGAGACTGGTGCGTGTGCCCCTGTCCGTGCCCTGCCCGCGGCGCTCGTGTCTGAGACCCGCAGCCGCCTGCGCTGAACCCTCCAGCGGCCACCTCGCTCTGCACCGCCGGAACCGCGCGGGCCCCGCCCGTGCCGGGCTGTTCCGGGCTGTTCCGGGCCATGGCGGCGCTGCTCCTGCGGGCGGTGCCGCGCCTCGCCTGGGCCCCGCGGCGGGCGGCGGCGGCGTGGCCCGGG